AAAAAAAAAAAAAAAAAAACAGCACTCCTTTACTGAACGCTTGACCGTTTGTAGCAAAAGATGAAATCTGAAATCTTCAAACATCCACATGTGAACAGCTGAGACATTTCTGCTGAACTGAACTTCAATACAGTGTGAGGCTGATCTTGTGATTCACTTTATATGAGCCAGTGAAAAACTAATGAGGATACAGTGCTCAATAAGCGTCATCACTTTCATCAAATTGTCATTAACTATTAATTGATTACTAAATTAGTTTCTTTGAATAATTGATTAATACAATTGTTTCAGCTCTAATATATAATGTTACATCCCATAACTTAACAGAAACTTATAAACTGAATTAGCATGATTTTTTTTTTTTTTTGGCATCAGTTTCTAACACTCAGTCTGCAGCCTGACAGTTTACAACTGTAAACACAGCAAACTGCTGGGAAAACCTCCTGAAAATAAATGCAATGATGCAACCAGATGGACTGGAGGAATAATTAGGATATAAAGGCGCATAACATGGTAAACAAAAACCATCAGTTCTTCTGTATTTTGAAGTGAAGCCTTCGTCTTTCCAGATAGATCTAATGTTTTATTGTCGCTTCAGCAAAGAGTTTGATTTGCTGCTTTCTGAATAAAAAGTTTGTTGCTTCCGAGAGGAAACAGTTTCAACTTAAAGAAAAAGGTTTACCATTGTTAACAGAGAAAAGTTTTGTCCTTCTGTCTGTTTCAATTTAATTAAATATTTTGTAAAAATTCTCCTGATTTTAAACCGGAAACTCAGCATAAGAAACACTTGTTTCTTATCAGGAAACATAAGTGTGTAACTTACTTTGGATATGTAGATTTTTTTTTTGTCTGCAGATAAAACATATTTATCTGTCTAAGTAGTCTTTTAAAGAGAGCTTAAAAATAATGTTAATATTTATAATGTGAAAGACATAAATGTGATCAATTTAACAGAAGTCAGAAACCAGCAACAGCTTTGTGGTAACAGAAAAAAACATTACATTTTATTCTGTAAAAACCTTCCCAGAAATATTAACTGTGGGTCATTCTGAAGATCAGTCTGGAAAAAAACAAACAAACAAAAAAACTACCTTGTGCCGGTAATACGATACATTTTAACAACATTGTTGCAACTTGTCCTCCGTTCTTTTTGTCGTTAAGCTGCAACAGCGAAGTTGTCTTATCAAAATAAAAGCATCAAATCAGAAACTGGAAGTCAACCATATATCCTACAAAATAAAACGAAGTAAAGGAAATGTATTCCTTTTGGGGTTATTTACAATAGTAATGGATAAATATCACATCAATTTGGAACATCGCCTGTAACATGACTGGAGGAAACTTGAAACATTACATCTCAACCATCGGATATTTTAAAGATATAGCGCCTACAACGGAAATAAATTCAGGGTTTGTTAACAAATGTAGTCATTTTCACAGCTAGTTTCTAAAAAAAAGGTTTGCTGAGAGAAGTAGCTATTACATGCAATTAAAGATACAGACTGTAATATAACTAGTTATTTGATTGATCCAATTCTTTTGAACGTCTCTTTCGGTGTCCTAAAACACCTGAACGACGGGACTCGAGTCTTAGAGCCTCTCTTTGATTTTTAAAAACCTTTTTCGAGCTTACAATGCTCTGCACACACTATCTCTTATTCCATTTAATTTAAATTGTGTTTATTTAATACGCAAATAGATACAAGCGACGAAAGGGCTGAACGTATGAGGACACGGTTTTCGTCTTGTGTCATGGCGGCACTGTGAGCTGCCGTGACGCAGGTTTCACGCAGCGGCAGAGAGGATGGCGCCCTGCTCTCTCTTCTTCCTCTTTGGTTAATGTTCATAGCGGCAATTGTATGCTTTAGTTACAATTGTCCAAAAAAAAATTTATAGTTTCTGTGAAACTGAAAAACTTTTTTTTTTCCCCCATGTACCGTTTTATATTACAAATACACTAAAAAATACATGTATATAGGACATTTTTAACTTTTGAAAATATATAATTTTTCCTGTAAAAGCATACTGCTATTTACTTAATGCAGATTGTAGCAGCCGTAATTGTGTGGTGTCCCTTTAAGACAGCCCGAGTTTTTGCTGGTGATGTCACAAATATGCGCCTATGCTTCTCTGTAGAGAGCGTTGGAGAAACGTGCTGGAGATCGACGCATGGACTGAGACGGACATGTATATTTTATCTCCCCAACTATAGTAACGTTACGGGTTGTTTGGACTTCGCTTATTTTCATTTTTGATAATACAGCAGCCGTTCAACCGGGCTTTGTGATGTTAGTGTAGAGTCTGTTTATTAAGAGGATAAACTGGAATTCACAGTACTAGTGTGTTTGACTATCACGATGAGTCTGCCGCTTCCTCTCTACCACCCAATACAACTGAAGCTTTACAAGATTCAAATTTGTGAACTTCACCCGCTACAATAAAAAAAAAAAAAACTGGCTTAATCCTAAAAATACAAAGTATATTTTCATAATGGGGTCATTTGAACTGCTCTTTGAAATTGAGAGATACTGAAGATTCAAGTTCCCTTACAAGAAAATCAGTCTCATCACTAAATACAGCCCTAAGTTAAGGGTTGGTACGTTTAGGGTTTGAACACACCGATCATATGAATATTAAAGATTAGAACAAAGCCCTTCAGATGTAGTGAGTGGCTCTTAAAAGAGCCGTTGGGTTTGTGTGTTAACAGCAGAGCTGTTTACTTGGAGCTGGTGTACTTGGTAACCGCCTTGGTTCCCTCGGACACGGCGTGCTTGGCCAGCTCACCGGGCAGCAGGAGGCGCACAGCGGTCTGGATCTCCCTGGAGGTGATGGTGGAGCGCTTGTTGTAGTGAGCCAGACGGGAGGCCTCGGAGGCGATGCGCTCAAAGATGTCGTTGACGAAGGAGTTCATGATGCTCATGGCCTTGGAGGAGATCCCGGTGTCGGGGTGGACCTGCTTGAGCACCTTGTAGACGTAGATGGCGTAGCTCTCCTTCCTGGTCCTTCTCTTCTTCTTGCCTCCTTTGCCGGCGGTCTTGGTGACCGCTTTCTTGGAGCCCTTCTTGGGCGCAGACTTTGCAGGTTCTGGCATGTTGTCTCTGGAAACTTGCAGCGACGAATGAGCTGCTGAAGAGGAATCGCTGATGTTATACATGCTGTATGGAAATTGAGCCGTACCGTCCCGTGGGTGTGATTGGATGAGGCGCTTGAAGTGAAATCACATGGCTTTTCAAACGTAGCGCGCAGTCGGATAGAAGGAGACAGAAAGGCGGGCAATCTCCCGCTGCTTTTTAGCTAATTTTATCCTCATTCTAGGTATATGAACACTTCATTCTTTTTATGGCGGACGTGTTTTGGTTTCTTCAGCCAGAAATATAAAAGTTCAAATTACAAATTCACTCTAGTCAGACAAATTACATTCATTTCAGGAACTTGCAGTCATTTGTTTTCAACATCCTTACGCAAGTTTTCTACATTGCGGCAGTGAGAACTTGTAGCAAAGCAAGAAAGAAGTCTTGCCTAGTGCTCTGTCTCATAACAGTGATTCTTTCATATGAACATACTGTTACTGCTCCCATTTCCCCATCTGTGCAACACCTAGGTCCGTTTACCAATTCTGGGACCCTACAAAAACCCCTCAGTGTCATTACCAAGAGAGATAGATTTGGTTCAGTATTGAAACAGACTTTTAATGCCGAAAAATTATCAAATGTTCCAAGTCTTACAAGTGAAACAGAAAGAGTGACATTCACCGTTCAGTGCTGGGCCCACTTAGCTCACCTTAAGGCGAGACAAAATGAAGCGATTATAGCACGAGTTCAGCTTTTATCTTCTCACTATGTGCCCTCTCTAAGAGGAAAGAGACATACACTTTTGTGTACTCTGATAACTTTGATATATTTCTACTTAAATAGCTCACCATACGTTTCCAATGTCATCTACCAACAAGGTAAATGTATAAATAGTGATGCTTTACATTTGTTAGCCATTTCCTTAACACAAAGAGGTTGATAGTGATGGGTCCGGTGTTCTCTATGCTCCGAGGTCATTAGAGCGAAACCCGGGTCGGTGCGCGTATCGCTATAAGAAAGTTACGTGACCGATACAGCGACTGTTTCGATCAGTGACGCGCCAAACTACATTTATGAGGAAGATTATCCGTTAACGATGCATCTGCTGAAATAATCTGATCTTTTGCGGATCCAAATGGATGGATCCCAAGAGATACTGAGGCAAACAGAACAATCTGTCCAAACCTCTTCCGCCTTTCCTTACAAAATGCGAGCTGGTTCTTTCTATAGCTGGAGAGACTGCATTAAAAAAAAAAAGCGCAACAGACCCAATGTCAAAACGTTTGTGAAAAAAAAACAAAACAAAAAAAAAAACAGTCTACATACATCCTCATGAACTCAGACTTTCACGTCGACATTTATTCACCATTAAAAATAGATACTTTAAATGACGTGAAATGACATTGTACTAGAACAAGGGCATCAAATCACTCAGTGAATGGCATCAACTAGGTTGTAGTCATTTTTAAGGTCCAGTAAGTGCCAGTTTAACAAGGTGAGGTACCAAACAATACTTTTCTGGTGTGGAATTGTTTGATTGCATGATTGTAGCAAATGTTTTCACTGAAAGTCAGCTTTAGTACACCTCTTTAGGACGCAAGAGTATATAGTTATAATTATATCACAGGAATAGCAGCTGATTAACCGATAAGTGGGCGGCCCTGAAAAGGGCCTTTGGTTCAGTAAGCAGCGTTCACCGTTTACCCTCCGAAGCCGTACAGAGTGCGGCCCTGCCTCTTGAGAGCGTACACCACGTCCATGGCGGTGACGGTCTTCCTCTTGGCGTGCTCGGTGTAGGTGACGGCGTCACGGATGACGTTCTCCAGGAAGACCTTGAGCACACCGCGGGTCTCCTCGTAGATGAGGCCGGAGATACGCTTGACTCCCCCGCGGCGAGCCAGACGGCGGATAGCGGGCTTGGTGATTCCCTGGATGTTATCGCGGAGAACCTTACGGTGACGCTTGGCGCCTCCTTTACCGAGTCCTTTGCCTCCCTTTCCTCTGCCGCTCATTTTGTCTTCTTCTTCTGTGCAAACACAAAGATGAATGTGAGCCCGAGCTGCGGAGTGTCGGGCTTTATGTGTGAGCTGCGGACCTATGAGGAGCCGATCTCAGCAGCTCCTCCTACAAGACTATGACAGATCGAGAAGAACGTTCTTTTATGAAGCAATAATTTAAGTTTGATGAAACAAAGTTGTGTGAATCAAGCTCCCCTCAACAGTCTCTGAAAGGAATAAACATAAAAATAAATGTAGTTCATCTGTTTGTATTCATGCTGTTGTGCAGCTGAGGAACATGAGAGATTTCTGAAACAATTTTCACTCCATTTAAGTTGTGAATGATCAACATCCAGTAATTTTTGCTAATTGATTTCAGAAGGATTTATAAAGTGTTGGCCTGATTTCTAGTCCTTTTAGAATTGAATATGAAAGTTTTGTTCCATATGATGTTTGAATATTTGATTTCTTTTCCTGGTTGTTGTCTGACTTTTATTACTTGTATAAAAGCAATGTTACGCATTATATGGGTGTTTAAAAACTTGAATTCAGCGGTGTCAGTTGTGAGCGAGCCAAGTGACTTTGCCGATTCATTGTGAAAGGAACCGAGTGCTGTGCTGTGTGAGGCTTTTTGTGGCTTTCCTGTCTGTCATAATTTGTGCAGACAGTGACGTAATAAGCAATGACTAAAGACTCACTGATATTACATGAGAAGAATAAGTGTGAAAGTTGATGTGTTCTTCCACATACAGTGGTAGAACACATTAACTCTCAGATGGTGCAAAATGTAATTTTTCCAAGTGGAAGTGTATGAAGTAAAATATGGGTCAAAGAAAAGAAAAGAAAAGAAAAGGAGGAGCTCTTCAGTAGAATGTGTGTTGGCTCTTAAAAGAGCCTTTGGTCAGTGAAATGCGGGGCTGAAGCAGCAGTTTACTTCTTGGCCTTCTTGGCTGCGGCCTTCTTGGCTGCAGGTTTCTTTGCTGGACTTTTCTTGGCTGCGGCCTTGGGCTTCTTGACGGCGGCGGCGGCGGCGGCCTTGGGCTTCTTGGGCGCGGCCTTCTTGGGGCTCTTGGCGGGCTTCTTGGCCGCTTTCTTGGCCGGAGCCTTCTTCGGGGACTTCTTGGCTGCCGCTGCGGGTTTCTTTGCGGCGGGTTTCTTGGCCGCTGCGCTCTTCTTGGCGGCGGGCTTCTTGGCCTTGACGGGAGCCTTCTTCTTCACCACCTTCTTGGCCGGTTTAGCGGCTTTGGGCTCCTTCTTGGCGAGCTTGAAGGAGCCGGAGGCCCCCGTGCCCTTGGTCTGGCTCAGGGTCCCTTTGGTGACCAGCTTGGTGACGGCGGTGTTGATGCGCTTGTTGGCCTTGCTCACGTCCACTCCTTTCCCGGCCAGCACCTTCTTGAGGGCCGCCAGGGACATGCCCTTGCGCTCCTTGGACTCGGCCACGGCGTCCACGATGAGTTTAGGGAGGCTGGGTCCGTCCTTCTTGGGCCGGGGAGCGGACTTCTTCTTCGGGGCTTTGGCCGGAGCCTTGGCCGGCGCGGCTGCTGGAGCTTCCTCTGCCATGTCTGTCGGACTGGGTTGTTNATAAAACGGTACATGGGGGAAAAAAAAAAGTTTTTCAGTTTCACAGAAACTATAAATTTTTTTTTGGACAATTGTAACTAAAGCATACAATTGCCGCTATGAACATTAACCAAAGAGGAAGAAGAGAGAGCAGGGCGCCATCCTCTCTGCCGCTGCGTGAAACCTGCGTCACGGCAGCTCACAGTGCCGCCATGACACAAGACGAAAACCGTGTCCTCATACGTTCAGCCCTTTCGTCGCTTGTATCTATTTGCGTATTAAATAAACACAATTTAAATTAAATGGAATAAGAGATAGTGTGTGCAGAGCATTGTAAGCTCGAAAAAGGTTTTTAAAAATCAAAGAGAGGCTCTAAGACTCGAGTCCCGTCGTTCAGGTGTTTTAGGACACCGAAAGAGACGTTCAAAAGAATTGGATCAATCAAATAACTAGTTATATTACAGTCTGTATCTTTAATTGCATGTAATAGCTACTTCTCTCAGCAAACCTTTTTTTTAGAAACTAGCTGTGAAAATGACTACATTTGTTAACAAACCCTGAATTTATTTCCGTTGTAGGCGCTATATCTTTAAAATATCCGATGGTTGAGATGTAATGTTTCAAGTTTCCTCCAGTCATGTTACAGGCGATGTTCCAAATTGATGTGATATTTATCCATTACTATTGTAAATAACCCCAAAAGGAATACATTTCCTTTACTTCGTTTTATTTTGTAGGATATATGGTTGACTTCCAGTTTCTGATTTGATGCTTTTATTTTGATAAGACAACTTCGCTGTTGCAGCTTAACGACAAAAAGAACGGAGGACAAGTTGCAACAATGTTGTTAAAATGTATCGTATTACCGGCACAAGGTAGTTTTTTTGTTTGTTTGTTTTTTTCCAGACTGATCTTCAGAATGACCCACAGTTAATATTTCTGGGAAGGTTTTTACAGAATAAAATGTAATGTTTTTTTCTGTTACCACAAAGCTGTTGCTGGTTTCTGACTTCTGTTAAATTGATCACATTTATGTCTTTCACATTATAAATATTAACATTATTTTTAAGCTCTCTTTAAAAGACTACTTAGACAGATAAATATGTTTTATCTGCAGACAAAAAAAAAATCTACATATCCAAAGTAAGTTACACACTTATGTTTCCTGATAAGAAACAAGTGTTTCTTATGCTGAGTTTCCGGTTTAAAATCAGGAGAATTTTTACAAAATATTTAATTAAATTGAAACAGACAGAAGGACAAAACTTTTCTCTGTTAACAATGGTAAACCTTTTTCTTTAAGTTGAAACTGTTTCCTCTCGGAAGCAACAAACTTTTTATTCAGAAAGCAGCAAATCAAACTCTTTGCTGAAGCGACAATAAAACATTAGATCTATCTGGAAAGACGAAGGCTTCACTTCAAAATACAGAAGAACTGATGGTTTTTGTTTACCATGTTATGCGCCTTTATATCCTAATTATTCCTCCAGTCCATCTGGTTGCATCATTGCATTTATTTTCAGGAGGTTTTCCCAGCAGTTTGCTGTGTTTACAGTTGTAAACTGTCAGGCTGCAGACTGAGTGTTAGAAACTGATGCCAAAAAAAAAAAAAAATCATGCTAATTCAGTTTATAAGTTTCTGTTAAGTTATGGGATGTAACATTATATATTAGAGCTGAAACAATTGTATTAATCAATTATTCAAAGAAACTAATTTAGTAATCAATTAATAGTTAATGACAATTTGATGAAAGTGATGACGCTTATTGAGCACTGTATCCTCATTAGTTTTTCACTGGCTCATATAAAGTGAATCACAAGATCAGCCTCACACTGTATTGAAGTTCAGTTCAGCAGAAATGTCTCAGCTGTTCACATGTGGATGTTTGAAGATTTCAGATTTCATCTTTTGCTACAAACGGTCAAGCGTTCAGTAAAGGAGTGCTGTTTTTTTTTTTTTTTTTTTTTTGCAATGCAGGCAATTAAACACTTTCTCATTTAAAACAGGAATCAGATGACTTATTTGTATTTTTATTGTTTCTAAAGTTCTTAATGTTATTCTTAAGTGGCTAACTGAAAAAATAAGCAGAATGTATAAATTTCTCATCCAATTACCAATTAATCATCAGCATAATCCATTACTGAAACAACCGTTAGTTAGTCCTAAAATGTATTTAATGGTTTCATTCTGTGCTTGTTTATCAGTAAAGTATGAACTAACTCTGCATTAGTTCTATGTGATTATTGCAGTCCTTGTCCACAGTATGGACGTTAAAATATTTCTTGTTTTACTCAGATTTTATCTTAAGAAACAAAAGGAGAAAAATATTGACGTTAAGACTCCATCTCCCATGATGCATCTGACAATTGAGGGAAAAGTATTCAAGCTGCCGGAGGCGTCCCGTGTAATAAGCAACTCTGACTTGTTACATGGTCAGGCTCCATCTGCAGTTACCACTGATCTTATCACGTCTGTCTGAAATGTGATCTTAGCTCAGACCTTTATTTTAATTTATTGTCTCAACCTGCTTCTTGCTGCAGTAATGTATTTCAGTAGCAGCTTTGCTTCAGTTACTGGCTGATGAAACCTCATGTTGGTCACAGTTACTACATCTATTAACTACTGTATTTCTCAGTTTTTGTTTCAGGAAAATAATAAAGCTCAATTCATGACAAATATCTTGAAGCTCCACTAACCAGAAGGTGATTGTTTCATTTATGCTTTATGTAACCAGAGTTTGAGACGTGGAGCTGAAGGCCAGGCTGCAGACACACTATGTTGTTCCTGTAAAACCACCCTGGTCCCTGTACAGTTGATCACAGTAAAGAGGTGTTTTTACACGAAGAACGAATCTTGAGGGCAAGGAAACAACACAAACTGGCTACTTTAAAACTTTTACAGAGCAATGGCTAATTTTTAGATATCCTTCAATACTATGTTATTTTGACTCCTAATCTTTCTACTAAACTGCAGAAACGATGACCGTTCCTTACCCTTGATGATGGGGGGGTAACCAAAACGTGCACCATGCTTTTCCAAGAAAATTTCTTCCACAGGCCTGAACTTGAGCTGTGAATCCCAGAATTGCATATTTATCCAAACATCAGTTATTATTTTGGATTCTTTTCCCCATTTAACTTTAATGTACATTGTGTTAAGTTTTCTCTCCATTTGTAGAAAGTCTGAAGAGCAGATGTTCATCAGATGAAGACATCACTGTTATCATATTTTAGTCTGTTTATGATCCAGACTGATTTAATTAGAACTGGCTATTTCTTCTCTAATCACAGACTTGGTGATGCTACGCTCCATCAGGCTGAATGTGAAGTTTTGGCCTCAGCTCTGAAGTCCAACCCTGATCAGACTGAACTGGAAATAAGTCATAAGTTGGTTCGAAGGACTGGGAGGCTCTGATATGAAGCTTCTGCTTGAGATCCTGGAGAGTTCAGTCACTAAAGTGAAGAACCTGAGGTTTTTCTCTATCCAATAAAATCTGTTATTGATATTTTAATCTGTAGTTTAACTAATTTTATTTTAATATGTTTTATTTTAAAACTACGTTTAATGTCAGAATAAAATCTCAAAAACATTTTACCCTAGAAATGAATTATTTTCTTATTTCAGACTTTGAGATTATTGAACTTTGTTTTTAAGTTTTGACTGATGAACAAAACTTGTTAAAATAAGTCAACAGATGTTAATGTTTCAGTTTGGTTTGCGAAAGATTCACATTGTTTTATTTCTCATTTCTGATTTCACATCTTTACATCCAGAGTGAAATGTTGTTCCTCCAGAGTCGAGCCAGGGCTGAATCCGCTGGCTATCCAACAGCTGCTGAATGTGGACCTTTACAGCCTCATACTCTGAGGGAGGAATCCACCTAAACCTCTGACATACTGGTGCATCATGTAGCAGAGGTATTTCATGGACTATCAGATCTGTGCAACCTAGATCACTGTCATGGACAGAGAACACTCCCACATATTTCTTCAAAGAGCTAACTCTCTCTTGTTCTGGGTCGTTCAAAACTGATAAATCCAACTTTGATAAAAGATCTGACAGCGGTGAGCTGTAGCTGATACTGAGCCAACTATCTTATCTTTAACACCCTCTGGGAGGTTAACAATATTAGTAGGGCCTAAAGTGCCTATTGGAGTGTGTCGTAAGAAACACATCCACATGACTTACAATTAACAGTAGTGATGCGAGTGATCCCCTTAAACACCGTCACTATTGCTGATGTCACCAACAGTCCTGCTGGGAGGCAACTTCTAGTGGTAAGTGGTTCAAATAGCCCAGACTCCATGGAACAAAACTCAGCTTGAGAACAAAAAGCAATGATGACCCTTATTCTTTAAAAAAATATATTTTTAGCAGATGTCCAGTTGGCTCTGATCCCTTACTTATATTTAGCTCCATGCAGAATTTTAATTTTGTTTCTGCTGTGCAAGACTGGGGGGGAGAACACAAACATACCACTAGATGGCAATGACTGTCCGGCAGAAATGTTCAGGAATCACAGATTGGCTTTTTAGTCCCTGTCGTGGCTTTTAAGTAATTTTGGTCAACATGTAGGACTGAGCAGTCTTGAAAAACAGTTAAAGGGTATTATCCATGAATAATAGAACTTCTGGCAGCAAAAAAATGTACATCTTGTAGTAATACAATTGCATTTTGAAGTTAATTCTGAATAAAGAACTTATTTGTAAAATATTTTGGAGTAAATACAAATAACAGAAGCAAAGGAATGTCCTTTGCTGCCGGAGTTGTGTTCCGAGTAAACAACTTGGGCAAGTAAGACGGTGTAAAAAATAAAATATAAACCATCGGCAAACGCTTGAAGGCTCATGGTTTCTCATCTGTTTCACAAATATTTGTATCAGTTTCTACCGATAAGACTTTACAGGAATAGCAGCTGATTAACCGATAAGTGGGCGGCCCTGAAAAGGGCCTTTGGTTCAGTAAGCGGAGTTCACCGTTTAACCTCCGAAGCCGTACAGAGTGCGGCCCTGCCTCTTGAGAGCGTACACCACGTCCATGGCGGTGACGGTCTTCCTCTTGGCGTGCTCGGTGTAGGTGACGGCGTCACGGATGACGTTCTCCAGGAAGACCTTGAGCACACCGCGGGTCTCCTCGTAGATGAGGCCGGAGATCCGCTTGCCCCCCCCGCGGCGAGCCAGACGGCGGATAGCGGGCTTGGTGATTCCCTGGATGTTATCGCGGAGAACCTTACGGTGACGCTTGGCGCCTCCTTTACCGAGTCCTTTGCCTCCCTTTCCTCTGCCGCTCATTTTGTCTTCTTCTTCTGTGCAAACACAAAGATGAATGTGAGCCCGCGCTGCGGAGTGGCGGGCTGTATGTGTGAGCTGCGGACCTATGAGGAGCCGATCTCAGCAGCTCCTCCTACAAGACTATGACAGATCGAGAAGAACGTTCTTTTATGAAGCAATAATTTAAGTTTGATGAAACAAAGTTGTGTGAATCAAGCTCCCCTCAACAGTCTCTGAAAGGAATAAACATAAAAATAAATGTAGTTCATCTGTTTGTATTCATGCTGTTGTGCAGCTGAGGAACATGAGAGATTTCTGAAACAATTTTCACTCCATTTAAGTTGTGAATGATCAACATCCAGTAATTTTTGCTAATTGATTTCAGAAGGATTTATAAAGTGTTGGCCTGATTTCTAGTCCTTTTAGAATTGAATATGAAAGTTTTGTTCCATATGATGTTTGAATATTTGATTTCTTTTCCTGGTTGTTGTCTGACTTTTATTACTTGTATAAAAGCAATGTTACGCATTATATGGGTGTTTAAAAACTTGAATTCAGCGGTGTCAGTTGTGAGCGAGCCAAGTGACTTTGCCGATTCATTGTGAAAGGAACCGAGTGCTGTGCTGTGTGAGGCTTTTTGTGGCTTTCCTGTCTGTCATAATTTGTGCAGACAGTGACGTAATAAGCAATGACTAAAGACTCACTGATATTACATGAGAAGAATAAGTGTGAAAGTTGATGTGTTCTTCCACATACAGTGGTAGAACACATTAACTCTCAGATGGTGCAAAATGTAATTTTTCCAAGTGGAAGTGTATGAAGTAAAATATGGGTCAAAGAAAAGAAAAGAAAAGAAAGGAGGAGCTCTTCAGTAGAATGTGTGTTGGCTCTTAAAAGAGCCTTTGGTCAGTGAAATGCGGGGCTGAAGCAGCAGTTTACTTCTTGGCCTTCTTGGCTGCGGCCTTCTTGGCTGCAGGTTTCTTTGCTGGACTTTTCTTGGCTGCGGCCTTGGGCTTCTTGACGGCGGCGGCGGCGGCGGCCTTGGGCTTCTTGGGCGCGGCCTTCTTGGGGCTCTTGGCGGGCTTCTTGGCCGCTTTCTTGGCCGGAGCCTTCTTCGGGGACTTCTTGGCTGCCGCTGCGGGTTTCTTTGCGGCGGGTTTCTTGGCCGCTGCGCTCTTCTTGGCGGCGGGCTTCTTGGCCTTGACGGGAGCCTTCTTCTTCACCACCTTCTTGGCCGGTTTAGCGGCTTTGGGCTCCTTCTTGGCGAGCTTGAAGGAGCCGGAGGCCCCCGTGCCCTTGGTCTGGCTCAGGGTCCCTTTGGTGACCAGCTTGGTGACGGCGGTGTTGATGCGCTTGTTGGCCTTGCTCACGTCCACTCCTTTCCCGGCCAGCACCTTCTTGAGGGCCGCCAGGGACATGCCCTTGCGCTCCTTGGACTCGGCCACGGCGTCCACGATGAGTTTAGGGAGGCTGGGTCCGTCCTTCTTGGGCCGGGGAGCGGACTTCTTCTTCGGGGCTTTGGCCGGAGCCTTGGCCGGCGCGGCTGCTGGAGCTTCCTCTGCCATGTCTGTCGGACTGGGTTGTTCCTCTGAAGGTACCGAGCTCAGAGCGGGAGGCGGGACTTATAACACACATGAGAACCGTGAAGAGACAACTCGGTCCGCTGCTCTGCTGCCGCCTCGAACAGCGGCTCCACTTTGTGTTTTCTCCGCCAACATTTAGTCTCAAAATACTCCGAAAACAAACATCTTACAAGACCAAAGTTACTAAAGGAGATATAAAAGTCTCCATTCTTCAGACTGAGCTCATGTTTGACACCCATCATGTTTTTCCTTTGTTCCAGGAGCCTTTAAAGCGGCCAGATTCTCGCCTTCGTTGTGCCTCTCGCTGGGAGTTTTCTTCGAATTTCGCCTCCGAAGACATCTAAAACCACATTATTCTAAAAGCAACAAATATGTTTCTGTTAGCCGAGACACACGAGGACAGAATCCGAGTAAAATGGCAGCGGTGAAGTGATTTGTGGAGATGAAAGGAGTGATTTTTCAGCGGATGTAAACACACCCTCGGGATCCCTGCGTGAGGCAGACCGCTGATCCACTGGCATAAACTTCCTGTCTACAGTAAATGAAGATTCAGCAGCAGCTGCTCTGAAAATCACTTCAATATCGAGATTTGGTCAGAAAAATGTTTTTGTTTTTTTTGTTTTTAAATTGTATCCAAGGAGCATATGCAGGGATTTACATATTCTCAGCTCATCACACTCAAAACTAGATGAGGGTATTGATTTCTAAAACATTAAAAGTTCATTAAAAGTCGATGTTCTTTCTGACTTGCAGGTAAGAGTTTTTACACACCAACATCCACAAAAAACAATTTAATACACACAATTATTTACATACAATAAACACCAAACACACAAAGACTTCAGGTTCATTTTCATTCTCCTGCCAACTGTTTTATTTTTCTCAATGATCTTCAGATTGTGTTAAAGGAAACATCAGACAGATTCTACACTCATTATCAAATCATTTGTTGCTTTAATGCTCATGTAAATGTTTCAGTCTATCTCATCTCTGCTGAGGTGAAAAGTTTTTTTGTTGCCAAAAACCCTTTCAGAAAGTTTCTGTTTCTTTAGGATCAACAGTTCAAATTAAGACGGATTTTACCAGACCGACCTGAATAAAACTGAATAGTTTCTGGACGTGAAATAAATCACGGGACGGGATAAATCTCTAATCAACCACAGTGACTTATTTCTGTGTTGCTCTTGATTGAACTTGTTGACATTGTCCTTTGGTTTATTTCAGAATGAGTTTAGAAGACAGAGCAGCACAAAGACGTGCTAAAAGCGAAATTAAAGGGACACAGAAGACAGCTAGCTCCACGTGTCCACTGACTTTTAGTTGTCTATAACTTTTTCTCTGATTGATTTGCTTGGAGTGTTCTTCGGTCTTCAGTGCTGTAATGGCAGCCCGGAATACAGAATTAACCTCCCAGATACGGGCACATATACTGCAAATACTTGACATTTGAATGGCCCAGTCAAAGCCTAGATCTAAATCTGTGGCAAGAGTTTAGAGAAATATATTTGCAGACATTCACCAAAGGAGAATAAACGAGGTGTTTTGTAAAGAATGGGCAAATGACTTTGTGCTTGTCTACAAAATAAAATCTAAATCTAATGTTTTAACGTGTAGTTATGAGAAGTTTAAAGTTTATATAAAATACATTTTGCAAAGCAGCTGATATTTTATATTCAAGTTAGAAGATGGCGACGCTTGATTAAAACTACATTCTTCCTAGTAGACATGAAAATGTATTGATTTTATTAAATAAACCACGAATTGAGTTTTTCCACGTAACATTGTGCGATACTGGAAAGGGTCACGTTTTGTTGTCCAAATAAAATGTTATAGCCACAAATTAAAACACGTTTCACCTGGCCGTGAAGAGTGACTGAGGTTTTAAAAGCTTTGCATAAAACGTGTCATTGATTCCAGGACTAAGATGAGCAAGTTTATGAAATGAGCAATTAAACATTAAAATAGTGAAGAATATGAAGAAAGTGTCGGTGTGTTTGGTTGGAAGCGGAGCTCTCATGATGTAATGAGTGTGTGGCTCTTAAAAGAGCCGTTGTGTTTGTTGCCGAGCAGCAGCAGCAGCAGCAGCAGGTTTACTTGGCCTTGGCGGCCTTCTCGGTCTTCTTGGGCAGCAGCACCGCCTGGATGTTGGGCAGCACTCCACCCTGAGCGATGGTGACTCCACCCAGCAGCTTGTTGAGCTCCTCGTCGTTGCGGACGGCCAGCTGCAGGTGACGGGGGATGATGCGGGTCTTCTTGTTGTCGCGGGCGGCGTTCCCAGCCAGCTCCAGGATCTCAGCGGTCAGATACTCGAGCACAGCGGCCAGGTAGACGGGGGCTCCGGCACCGACCCGCTCCGCGTAGTTGCCTTTGCGCAGCAGCCTGTGAACACGGCCCACTGGGAACTGGAGTCCGGCTCTAGAGGAGCGGGTCTTGGCCTTAGCTCTGGCTTTTCCTCCGGTCTTTCCGCGGCCACTCATTTTTTCTTATCGTTTGTTCCTGGAGATGAGACTCAAGAAATGAGAAGCAGCGGCTGAAAGCTGCTTTATATGTCCGCGGAGAGGAGCGGGACGATGTTGGCGACCAACCAGAAAAGCTTCCAGCAGAGCGGGACGGAGAGGCGGACTTTTTAAAACGCGGCTTCCTCCAATGAGCGGCGGACATTAAGCCGGGAGGAGACGCCTCTGGGCGGCGCCGAGCTCCAGGAGGAGCCGCTAACCAACCAGGATCCGGAGCGGAGCCGCAGCGTCACAGAGTGACGCCCAGAGCCTCGGCTTAAGAGCAGCGGAGCCTCGGCGGTTTGCATCATTTCTCCTCTCCTCTCCTGATCAGAGAACAGAAGCATGGCCAGAACCAAGCAGACCGCCCGTAAATCCACCGGAGGCAAAGCCCCCAGGAAGCAGCTGGCCACCAAGGCGGCCAGGAAGAGCGCTCCGGCTACCGGCGGCGTGAAGAAGCCTCACCGTTACAGGCCCGGTACCGTGGCTCTGAGAGAGATCCGTCGCTACCAGAAGTCGACGGAGCTGCTGATCCGCAAGCTGCCCTTCCAGCGTCTGGTCCGAGAGATCGCTCAGGACTTCAAGACCGACCTGCGCTTCCAGAGCTCCGCCGTCATGGCTCTGCAGGAGGCCAGCGAGGCCTACCTGGTGGGTCTGTTCGAGGACACCAACCTGTGCGCCATCCACGCCAAGAGGGTCACCATCATGCCCAAAGACATCCAGCTGGCCCGCCGCATCCGCGGAGAGAGAGCTTAGAGGCTGCAGCTCCAACTAACACACAACGGCTCTTTTAAGAGCCACACACACCTTCATTAAGAGCTCTTCCTGTTGTCTTAAACTTTTCTGTTGTACACGGACAAATCTTAATTTTCTATTTGTATAATTTTTTTATAATCAAAATAAATGGTTTTATCCCATCCCACCACCACTGTCTGTAAGCAGAATGTCTACCTTCATGTCTGAATCTGCCTTAATTGTCCTGCAGAATGTCTGTAGAACTTTACCTTCGTTCAAGGTAATATTTGAATCTCAATTGCCATTCATCCATGAGGAATTACTTCAGTTTTTTTGCCCCCCAATTTTCATAGCAAGCACAGCATATTCCCCAAACAATTTTTTTTTTTTTACATGGCATCTAAACTTGTCTTGCCTCAACGGCAGTTTATAAAACGTGTTTCACATGAAGTGGGCTAAAAATGACCCAAACAGTCTTTTCTCTGGAGTTTCATTTGTAAATTTGGTTCCGATCAAGTGACACTAATGTCAGTTGAATGGAGCACACAGACTAAAAGAAAAGAAATGTATTAAAACCTTTCAAGGTGAGAACAGAAATACAAAGGAGTGTGTCAAGTCTAAATGGATGTGGCTTCCTTTTATAGGTTTACTCAGAGAAGACAGACTTGATTGGACAATAGGTGTGAATCTCTGATTGTGATGTACCAGGGATTCCTTGGAGCCCAACACAGATTGTCTGGCCATTTGTCTATTATAGGATAGGAGGTTCTTCTTTAATGCTAAAGAGGGCAGATAAGTTCCACGTTGGGAAATGGAAGTGTCTCCAGAAGTGATCCTGGAGACACTTCCATAGTCTCCAGGATCAAGGAGCTCTCTCCTGCTGTTAGGACACTGTAGAAGACTCTTGATCATGATTAGACTATTCAGATAACCTAAAGCAGAAGAGGGGTGAGGAGCACGTTATAAAATTTTCCATTACAGGTGTACACAGTTTTATCGGCTTCATCATTATTGTGTAATTAATTTATTCTATTTTATAGTTTATTTAGCCAGCTAACATTACCCCATTCATTGTGTCAGTCATTAATTACTACTGTGAATGTCATTACTTGTCAATACTTTAGCCTATTTCATCAATTTCTTAAATTATGTCATGTTCTACACATGTTGGATGAAGAAACTCTTCCTCATGCAGCCACAGTACAAAATATTCTATTTTGCTGTTATGAAATGTCCTTTAATGTTTAAAAAGAATAAAATAAAATAATTTTCAGGTAAAATCATTCATTTGTGGACTATTACAACACAAAATATAAAGCAAATTATTATCTTTAACCAAAATTACAAAAGTAGCCCAAAAACACACTGATTCTAAAACGGGTCATTTTCGACTCACCTATATTTAAGAGTGTGGAGGTCCTGTCGCTCATGCGTATAAAGGTTCATTATTATTTTTAGGCTATTAGTATTTACACCACATGATTATTACAGCTTTTTTAATGTTCTCATATGTCTTAGCATAGCGGTTCTCAATGTGGGCGGTACCGCCCCCCAGGGGGCGTTCAGAGGACGGCAGGGGGCGCTGGCGGAAGTTTTTACAAAAGGGGGGGCGTTTGGTCGAAGGTAAACTTTACACCTTAAATGCACAACAATGCCAGTTTAGACTATGAGCAACTTGGTAAAACTGTATTTCGTAACATTAAAACATGCTTGGCTACAACTGTATCGATGGCAGCTC